TTACGATTACCTCTGTTATACCATATGCACAAGGTGTGTGCCATCACCCCTCTGTGTGTAAGGTGCCATTGACACCTCCTGCACTAACTTGCAGCAGTCAGTGGGGACTAGCACTAGGCTTGCAGAGTGAGATTTGGCCTCTGGGCACAGCTGTTTGCCTGGGGATCTGCAGATCATTGCCTAAGGAACAGCACCTGCCCAGACAGCACAAATCTTCCCCTTGCTGGTGTGGGCAGAAGCTGCCCCCAGTACAAATGCCAAGGAGAACATGGCTGTGATGAACACACAAGCTGCACACTCTGAGACTTCCTTTGGATTTTCCTGTGAGTCTCTACATTTTTTTTCTGTGAGTTTCTCTATACCAGCAAAGATCATTTTCTTGCTGTGAAATACAGGTGCTGTTGAAAATCCCATGAGGAAACATTCTGTGCTCAGCATTTTCCCTGACAGGGCCCCCCACACTCCCCATCCCCAGAAGAAAGGGAAGTGTCACTGCCAAGGCTCTGTTTTAGCTGCTTTTTGCATTAGACCACCAAAGAGAACAGCACAGGAATTGTTCACAGGCTGCACTGAATGAGTCAGAATGCAGAGCTAGGGCTGGGGCTGAACTCCCCAGCCACAGTGAGCTGTGCCAGCAGAGGTAACAGCAGCTACTCCAGGGCCACATGTGCAAAGTAAATCTTTGCCTTGGAGGAGACAAGGAAGAAGTGTTTAATCAGCAGACAGTCAAGTGCCTCCTCCGCAGAGGATTGCTGGCACACTGCTGCAACAAGGCTCAGGATGGGTATAGCCAGCTCTGCTGAAAGTGGGACAGTGACCTCAGGCAAAACTGAATGTGCAAACCTCACCAAAACTTCCTCCTTGCTCTGAATAGCCTGGGCTGTTTACTGAGGTGCAATGATGAGACACACCTTGCATTTAACCCTTTAACCTCATATTTCACCCTTGTTAATTTAATTTTGTGTTCTGACCCTAGGGAGTAAAAATATGGTGGTTTCCAGTTTGTCAGTTGGGATGCAAAGAAGGGGGTTCCAGATAAACCCCTGAAGGTCCCTATCCCAGTTCTTGAGGAAGGGAAAGCAAAGACTAGAATTCTAGACACAAACACATGCTACCAAGGCCACTGTTCTCTGAACCATGCAAGCAAAGGTCCCACCTCCTGGAGCCCCAGGGCCCCATCGCAGTCTCTCTAACAGACAGCATGGCAAAGGTGTAGCCAGGAATGAAGATGGTGCCAAAAAGCCACCAGTCCAAAGAGAAGTCAGTTCTCCCTGGTTTACACCTGGCCATTAGGATTTTCCCTCTCATCTGGAGCCCCTGGCTTTGCCAGACATGGGAATCAGGTTTCTGGTGTGTCCTGACAGCCTGCAATGCAGGGCTCAGGCTGCTGGTTCTCCCCAGCCACTGAGCTGTGCATGTTTTTTATGACATTGCACTTGTTCCTTGGTGTGTCAGATGCATCCCCAGAGGAATGGAAAAATCAGAACAATGAAACAACATCAACCAGAGATCAATAGCTTTCCCTATACTCTCTTTGTAGTTTTGCACTTCTTTCTCTGCTTGGATGATGCCATCAGCATACTCAGCAGAGCTTTCAACCCTTTCATGTTTTATGGCCAGATTCACCCTGAGTCCTGGGCTGGATGCACATCTACAGCCAGTCCTATATAAAATCCTTGGAGTTTTCAGCATTAGGGATGACAGAAGCATCCAGGTGTCCTTCATGCTTCAGTACAACTACAGGGGCTGCATACTGCATGAAATTCTGATTCCACAGACATCAGAGAAAGCGACCATTGCTATCTCTGCCTTTCCTCCAAGTGTGAGAAGTTTACATCCTTATCCAAGTCCTTGCAGTTTAACAGCCTGGCATCTCCAGTTACCAGTTTGTCTCCTTTGGGTCCTCCAGGTCTGCACCTCTCTTCACAGCAGACATGGGCCATGGCCCCATAAAGCATTACAGTGGAACATTTTGATGGAGCCTGGATGGCATTCTCCAAAAGCTTGAGGACCAGACACACACCACTGTAATTCCTCTCACTTCAATCCAGCACCCATCCAGCAGTGAATTTGTTGTGGTGCTTGCAGTGTTTGCCAGCATCACACGTGCCCTTGAATCACCCTGTGCAGCAAGACCAATCTCACTGGGTTAACACCTGGGCACGGTTACAGGGAGAGCAGATAGATCCTCACAACACCCCAGGCCCCTCAAACTCTTGACAGTTGTATCCTGTGTCACACTAATGTGCTTTTCTCCTTTCCTCACTCCTCCAGATCCCAGAGGTGAAGACCAGGTTCTCCCCCAACCCTTCTGCTGTTTTCCAGGCGCCATCACGGATCCTCAACGTGTGAACCTGGACCCTCCTCACAGCCAGGCAGCTCAAACCTGGAGTTTGTTAGAGATGTACCACTATGCAATTTTCATGAGGAGCGTTAAGATCAAAGGCCCAGTGTTACCAGAAGCAGCTCCAGTGATTAATGACATGCACACACACTTTCTGTTCACACAACAAACCGCAAAGCTTGGTTCAGAGCTGGCACAGCATGCTGCAAGGAGTGACCCAGTTTTTCACAGGAGCAGGTTCATTACTATGCCAGCTGGCGTCACATTAGGAGATTGACTCTGGGCAGCAAAGGCAGGATTGCAGGCAGCAGCCCCACTCAGAAAGACACAGGGTAGGAGGGAAAACGGTTGCAGGCAGGATGGATAATTAAAACCCAAACCAGTTTTATTTAGCAACACCCTCTAAGTAGGCCACTGAAAGAGAGGGAGTAGTCTGGCTGACTTCTGAGCTTTTGGGGAGTTTTGGGAGTAGGACCTCAAATGGCATCACCAGAAAGCACAGCTTCCAAGGGGCTGCTCTGAACTTCCAAAGTTGGTTTAGAAGCTGGAGGAAGCCAATGTCATTGAACTCTGAAATAAATCTGGCACGTGCAGTGTCCTGGGCCTTTAAGGCTGGGAAGCTGGATAGTTCCAAAACTGGGGAGCTGATGCAGGAGCAAGAGAGGACTGAACTCCAGGAGACAGCCCTGCCAGCAGTGCACCAGGCTGGTGTGGAGAGGAGTGCATGGATACAGCCAGGCACCCACTAGTACTCTCCAGAGGATCTAAGATACTTACATAACTTGTATAGCTGTAAATATTGTACATGGATTTTACCTAAAGCAATTTGTGATCCTTTAATGAAAAGGATATGCTTATACTTTTAATAAATGTTAACTCTTTGCATATGCAAGGTGGAAAATATTGCCTTGAAATTCCTCAATTATCGCCTGTATATTGGTAATGCTAATGCTAGGAACAACCACAAGTGAATGTTACTTAGATATTCTTCTTAAAGAGAAATGTAATGTAGAATGTAAACCATCTGTCATTTCTGAGATAGGCCGTTCCAAGTGTCATTGTTCTGAAGCTGATTTTTTTAGACTGCTGTGCATTAACATTTGCTGAGGTACATGTGTTTTAAGAAACCATTTTTTTAGCCTTTGTTCATCGAGACTTTACAATTTCTATTTCGATAACTTATGCAATATAATTAGCCTACTGCTTATTTAATGGATTTACTAATTATTTTGGAAAAAGAAATTTTTTACTTTGTGTTTGCAACACATGTGTGTTGTCCAGAACAAGGGAAACTATCCTCAGACTTGAACAGTGATCAGATCCTCATTCATCTGTAATAAAACAGACTTTTACACAGGAGGATTTTTTCTTAACCTTCTTACTAGCTGAAGTCTAAGACAAATTTAATGAACTTTGGGGATTCTGCTAAAACGAATGCATTGCTGATAATTCCCATAAGAACAATGTTTGAGCTGTTGGCATGTGAACTGTACTGGCAATACATGCAGACAGCATCCTCTCACTGCATTATGTGGGAATTTAATGGTGCCATCCCTGCTCACCATGGTGGGACCCAACACAACCACCAGAGCAGGGAGCACCTGCAGTGAGCTGCATTTGCCTGGGACAAGGGATGGCTCGTCCCACACTCATCCTTGGAGAAACCTGCAGTAATCCCAGTGCTTGCCAAAATAATTTTTCAGGAAATTCATTTTTCAGGAAATTCATTTGAAGCATTCAAACTGTGCTAAAAGAAGTTTTGCATGTTAGATGTTTCTAAGAATTCAATCTGCTTGTTTAATCTCTTTATAACGTTTTTAACAGTTTTGTTCAAATTATTTAAGTTCATTTCAATCCTGGACTTTATTAACAGCAAGGAAAAAAAAAGTAAAAAGGAAATTGTCTATTATCACTTCTTATTTGACTGTATTTCTTAAAAAATGACCCAGGTTTAAACAAATTGGTAATATAATAAGCTTGTATTTTATCAAATGGACTGGATTTAATTTAATAAATTAAAATGTATTTTGGCTATTGGTTCTCTCACATATTTTTGTTGTTGTTGTAAAATACAATCCTCAGATATTCAACCTTGCAGTACATTTTGTCATTGCATGACAGCAGGGCACACTAGACACCAAGCAGTGCATCAGGGGATGCATTCAGAGCCATCAGCAGTCAGTTCCTTACTCCTGCAACCTTCCCCCAGGCACAGCCCCCAGCAAGGACAGCTTGAGGGCACACTCAGAGCTGTGGCCCAGCTGCATTCCCTGTGAAATACACAGAGGTTTGATGCACTTTGATGTAGATCCCTTTCTGCAGTACCCACGCTGTGCCCTGTTGTTTCACCTCAGTTTCACTCTGCCATCTCACATAAATCACAGCAAAAGGTGATGGCATTGAACGGTAGAAGAGACCACTGCTTTACAGTTATCCCCAAGAACATTTCAGTCAGTAAAAGTGCTGGAGATACAACCAGCTTCCCTAGACAGCGCAATAGCTCTTCCAGCTATGCCTCAAGAGACTTCCAGGAGAAAGCCAAAGGCTCACAAGCTGCTGCTCAATGTACCTGAGCAATGAATAGAAGGAAAAGTGAGCAGGTACTTACCTGTAAGGTCCAGGGTGATGCCACTGGCTGTCAGTGTCTGCAACTTACCTGATTTTGTGTGAAAAATGCCCACCTCAGCCACATCGAAAGGTATCACATCAAATTCCTCTGGAGAAGTCAAATCTGCAGGAGTTTTGCAGGCTCCAGGGAGTCGTGATGCCAGAATTGCTTCCAACACTGCTCTCACACTAGTATTTGTCTTCCCAATTGCTCTGGGCCCATGTCCAGGTCCCTCAAGGATTTTCGATTGTGAATCACACTGCAAGTAAGGGTTATTTGACACATAAAGAAATGTCCTTTAAAAAAGAAGGGTTTACTTTGGAATTTACTATCTCTAGGGTGACACTGAACCTGCTTGTTTTGTTTAATCCTGCGGACGCCTGGCCTATTGGGGTGCTGAAGGTGAGTTTTGTGGCAGGGAGCAGTGAGTACCTGCACTGCCACATGCTCAATGTAAGCTTTGGTGTGGGAAATACACCATTGCTCAGGAGAGTTCTTGTTGTGAACTTGCAAAATTCACAAGCAGCACATTACTGATTTGCCTGCTTTCATAAACTGCACGTTTCTCTGTGCATTGCACTAATTTCTTTGAGAGCGAACAATCAGATCCAAACCTATCACCTCTACCTTAGTCACCCCCATTTCCCCTGCCTTGGCCACTGCAGCCATGTCTGATCCTAAGGACCAACCTGGTTTGCCACAAAGGCGTCGTGCAGCCAAGAAAGGCTGTGTTTACTTCCAGGGCAGGAGGCACTTCTGTGGCATTTAGCACTAACACAGAGTTCTGCAGCATTTCCAAAAACAACTGCGTGTTAGTCTGCTCACAGACACCCACGGCTCCTCCCCACAGGGCAGGGCAACAGAAGTTTGGTAACTTCGCTTACTTTTTCGATTCTTGTCTGTGTGAAGTGCCGGCGCCCAGCGCTGGCA